TAAATTAAACATAATAAAAACAAATAAATTATACATTTTTACCAGAAAAATTATACATTATTCAATATTACTAATGCATAATAAAAATAAAGGGTTAGAGTACGTATAATATAATATTTGAGAAATTAATATTATGAAATATCATCAATAATAAAATTTTAAAATTTATTATAAAAACAGAGGGAGCAGAAGAAAAGTAGTGAGGGGAGGAATTTAACAACAATAGGATGAAAATTGAAATCACGGAGTGTGAGTAAGTCCACATGATTGCATTTTAGTAGAAACTTGAAATGAATTAGAGTTGGTAAAACGGGCTAACGTTGTGGATACGGGCCAACCTACACCTTGACGGGTTATCATTTTGCTAACCCTTTTTTTTTTTGTGGGAGCCCAATCTTTATTACCAGCTCTAAATTATAAATTATAAATTTATTATCTATTAATAGTGCGGCATGTGGTATAATGAGGAGGGAGATAAATGGAGCATTTTTTGTATTGTTCTTAAATAATTTACACATTCTTTCCCAATTAAATAAATATTATAATTTCAGTTTGTTAACTGCCCATTCGTTACGTAGAAGGGAGAATTATAATGAGATCTAAAAAAAATAATCATTAGTAGATCCTAATAATAAATGAGTAGGTGTATTTAGTACTTTGAAATTTGTTATTACAAAATGCTCTGCTACCATTAAAATTTTCTAGTAATTATATTATTTACTCAGGACCTCATTACAATTCTCTTTTTTTAGAATCTTTTTATTTAGTTTTTTTTCTCTAAATCTGTGGGGATTGCGGTAAAAACGGGGCTGCTAAATTGTTACTTTTAATTTTCCACTGAATATATTTTAAGGTTTCTTCACCTCCGTATTTTAAATAGTAGGAATGATACTTAATTTTAAATCTTTGAGGGTGTTACTGACTACAAGTGATTTAAATTAAATTTTTATTTGGGATTGTGTGATCTCAGATTCTGAGTGTGTTATGTTTGTTACTTGAAGTTTTGTTTTTGGTTGGTGCAATCAAACAATTTAAAATTTTGAAATTAGTGTGGATTTTTTTTATGTGTTTATGAAATTTCTCTTTTCGTATTATAGGCCATTTAATTTTGGTAACCTTCAAATTGAGTGTGATTTTATGTTGTGAGTAAGAGCCATGTGTCACTGCCTACAGGGCTTTATGTGGGTCATATTTACATTGTTTTCCGTTATTGCACGGTTACTTATTTGTTGGGGCATTTGGGTTTTCAAGCGTATTTTTCTAGTCCTATTTATAAGTCACTTTTAATATATTTTACATAGATAAAAAAAACCCTTAAATTTTATTAACTTTCATTTAAAATTCGGCAATTTTCTAATTTTATCTCTATTTAATATACATTATATCTCATATAAACAAAGTCAATACAATAATAAATTGAGAATAAAATTGTATATTAATACAAAAAATTTCTCTCAATGCTCTATAAATAGGACCAAAAAAATCTGTTCTCTCTGCTTTATAAATAAGACCAGAGGAGTATGTACTGCACTGTTTGATGATAATACTGAGACGCTGAGTCCTTGGAAGGCACATGACAGTTTATTTCCTGCTTAGTGCTTACCTTGACCAAGATTTGCGTTGCAAATTGTTATTTGTTTCAAGTGGCCGGTGGTCAAGAACAGCGTAATCAACGACCGCAAGAGGTGCAGTTCACTTTGGCAATAGATGGATCCGTGATACAGAACAGAGGCAGGTGACAGCGGTTTCCGTTTGTGGCTCTCGCGCTAGATGGATCGTTGGGTTTAGTAGAAAACTCGTTAACGTTTCCCTAGGCATTACGAAACTTTTGGCAATCATGAACGACTTACTTGCTGGTCGATCAAGAGAAATGAAGAATATTATTAACTCAGGTCTTTAATATAAGAACTAACTGATTAATTTAAATAAATTAAAAAAATTAATTAAATTAGATAATTATAATAAATATGTGTTGTCTTTTATAAAGTATCTTTGCTAATCAAGTATATTGATTAAAACTATCATTATTATGAGGATTATCTCAGGAAAAAAAAAGATAAATATGAGAGATAGAATGAATTAGGATCTTATATTTAGAACTAAAATAAAAGTCAAATAAACTCTTATATTAAAAGTTCTTATATTAAGGACGAGAGGTAGTCATATTTTGATTGATTGTATCGAGGTTGTAAATCTTGTTGCTAGAGGATGTGATTCTTCTTATCCGTTTAAAGATATCACTAAGGAGATTAGGTTACTCGTTCATTAAAGCTAGAGTGTGTATATTATTCACAGGGAGCACGAAACATCTTAGAATTTGCTGATTACTTTGCTAGACTTTTTCATATGTTAACTAGAATTTTTTGTACCTTGATCAATCTCCATCTTATAATTATGAGGCGGCAATTGATAAGGGGTAGCTCGGCTTGGCTTTTGTTTTTATTTTGTTGTGTTAATGTTACAATCTCAATTTCTATGCGCGCGCGGACACACACATATATATATGTAAATGCTTATTCACAATTTAGTAAATACTCCTCCGATCCTTAATATAAGACTCATTTAACTAATTTGATTAGATTAAGGAAGTTTGGTAAGTTAGTTAATTATAAGAAAAGTGACACATTTTTCCTAAAACACCATAATCATCTTTTTTAATACCCATTCTCCTTCTTCTATTTGATTATGGTTGAGGGAGTATCTATAGGGGTAATTTAGAGAAAATTGATAAATATAAGAAATGGGTCTTATATTTAGGACCAAAACCAACTCAAGAATTGGGTCCTATATTAAGGACCGGAGGAGTAGTATATTCCTAATTTTATAACTGCATTTTTACTAATTGATTTTGTAAATATAATTTAGTGAGTTTTTTTGGGGTGGATCTAACATTTGACCCAAAAAAAGTTGACATTTAAAATTTGAAACCTGGCAAAAAAAAGAATTTAAAATTTGAAAAGAAAAAAAAAACCCTTTTGTCGACAAACTCCCGTGGCTATTTATTATGGTTGCTATTTAATTTATTAACATGGTTTACTTATCATCAATTATATTTTTGAAAACTTATAATACCCGATTTGTTTGAAAATGGGTCGGGTATGACATTATTGGATTCGAATATATTCAATTAATGAGATTTGAATAACATATTAATTAAAATTTGAATATATTGAATTAAATGAGAAACAATATAAATAAATGAGATTCAACTAGAGACTTAAATGAAGAAATTAATAATTAAGTTTAAATTTGAATATATTGCATTAAATGTAGAGTATCATAATTAAATAATATGTCAATTGGAGTTTTAAATGGAGAAATAATTAATTAATTTTAAATTTTTATCGATTCCTTCTAAATTCTGCATCTCTAATTCAAGTTCTATTTGAATGAATAAAAAAAGTCATACTCCTATAAAAAATAGATCTTGGGCTATAATAGATAATACAATTTATTATAATTTTAAATCTAATTAAATATTTTAATCCATGCATCGTACGGGGAGAGAAATCTCTAGTTATTATATAAACTTAAATACTAATATTCCAGGGAAACCGATAACCCAACCCCCAAATATCATCTACTAGTGCAGATGATAGGGCCCCTCCAATGAAATCGCTTGGTGGTGATCGTAGGTTGCTCGAACTTCATTCCTTCGGTGTCTGAGATCGAGTGGATGCCTGTCTCGGTCAAGAAGCTTCATTCAATTCCTGGAGTTTAACATCGTTAGCAAAGCTCCATATATTTGGTAGCGTTTGTCATATTTAAAAAGTGTTTGGATATCGTTAAAAATACTTTTTAAAAATATTTTTTTTATAAATCAAAACAAACTCCTCCATATATTTATTTTATATATCATAAAATTATTTTTAAATTTATAATTTGGTTTCCAAACAAAAACCCTTAGAAAGGCCTCCCAAATTGTACGTTTGCTCCAACATTTTTTCTTTTTGGAAGATGAGCTAAAAGTAGTATTGTATGGGTATCCCCTAAGAAACCATTATATACCTAACTTAGCGCGTTCCAAATCTTGCTTTAAATGGAACATGGAAACAAAAAGTTCATTTGGATTAGCGATTAGAAAAAGAGCTTATTATTAATTTGACTTTTGAAAAAGTAGAATTGGATAAAAGTTAAATTAGATAAGCTAAATCGCATTTGGATTGGAGTTTAGAAAAGTTAGTTTATAAAAGTGAGATTGGTAAAAAGTTGTTTGGATTATATTTGAGGAAAAATAAGTTTGGTTGTAAAATAACCATAATAAATATGAGTTTTAATAAATAATGATATATGATTAAAAAAATAATTTTACATAATACAATAAAATTAAACTAATTTAATATGAAGAAGTCAAATTTAATGAGTGAATTAAATTTCAAAATTTTAAAACAAATCATAAAAAATATTTTAAATATAAATTGAAACATGGAAAAAATGAATTAATATAATATAATGAAGTGAAATTTAATGATTGAATTAAATTTAAAAGCTTGCTTTAGTTAATTAGTTATTACATTCATTCTTCCCCGTCAAATCCAATATGTCCCCCTCTTCTCTCTTTTTTACTTACCTTCCTCACTTTAACTTTTCATTGCCACTATTTTTCTTCCTAAAAAGAATAGGATATACATTAAAGAACTAGTGCATCGCGCGGGACAAAATAACTTCACAATAATAATATAAAAAAAAAGGATGCACAAATTAATGTTTCACATCAAATGATACACGACTCATTCCTCCCCACTTCCCCCCACACTAAGATTCCGAAAAACCTCCCTATACACAACATTTGTGGTTGTCTTGACATATTTGTCCATGTTATCATACAACAAAATCTTTAGCCCATCTATTGACTTAACTCTGGAAAGAACAACATATAGTTGGCCATGTGTAAAAATAGGCTTAGGCAAGTATAGACCTACACATCGTAATAATTGCCCTTGACTTTTATTTATAGTCATTGCAAATGATAATGCAATTGGGAATTGTCTCCTATTCATTCAAAATGGAAGACGACTATCAGAAAGATTCATGTCCATGTGATTAATTAGAACCTTCTCATTTGGCTTTGAACCATTCAATGTTATTGCTTCAATCATAGACTTCCCCAAATGTGTTACCCTCAATCTTGTCCCATTGCATAATCCAGAGGCTTCATCAATATTTCTCAACAACATAATAGGCACCCCAACTTTCAGTGTCAACTTGTGCATGGGCAAACCAGAGCTAGAAATGGTATTCAAGAACTTGGCTGTATGAAGGTCCTCAAATCCATTACTATCTTGTGATGATTTGCAAACTGAGTCGCTACTAAAATATTCAACAGAATCACCAGGAATCATAGAGCACATGAATTCATTCACCTGATTAACAACTTCAATTGTTGGGGATAGGATAGCCCTGTCATTAAAGTAATCATTGTTCGTCAAATTCTCCATCAAATCAGGATATGTAACAGATACAATGGCAGCTACTGGATCAGTGTAATTTTGCACCAACAAATCATGAGGTATTTCTACCTCGGTTGTGCCATCATGGGGCATGCCTATCTTTTCGTCCCCAATATCTAATAGCCATTGTGCAATTTTTTTCAATCGATTGCCATCTTCGTTTGCTGATATTGCTGACAATCGCATATTCTGTGTCAACTCAAATATTTTGCAACAGTCCCATAAATAGGAAGAGCTAATACATGCATTAACAATGTCAGCTCGTGAACCTTTAGGAATAACAGGAAGGATTTGGTGAAAGTCACCACCCATCAAAACACACTTGCCCCCAAATGGAAAATTACAGTGTATAATGTCCCTCAATGTCCTGTTAAATACTTCAATGCAATAGCGCTGAACCATTAGAGCTTCATCCCATATAATCAAAGTTGTGGATATGATTAAGTTCACTAACGATGACTTTTACTTGATGCTGCATACAGACTCTTCATTAACCTGAATTGGAATAGAAAATCTTGAGTGAGCAGTCCTTTCCAATGGCAATAGTATAGTAGCTATCCCACTAGATGCAACTGTATGAACAATGTCACCTCGAGCACGAAGAATTGTTGTCAAAATAGTCCACAAAAATATTTTTCCTGTTCCTCCATACCCATAAACAAAGAAGAAAGCTCTGGACTTTAAAGATAATGAAGACATTACAATATCAAAAATGTTCTTCTGCTCTTCATTCAGTGATCTCACTAATTTTCTTGACTCTATTTCATAAGCACTACGATCATAATTTAACTCTTGCAAGATCAAGTAGTTTCTTACATCAATTTTAGGAAATGAAGTTAGATATGAAAGAGAAGGAAAGTCTTTAAGACTCTTTCCATTCTCCTGCAGAAGTGATTCAATCTCCTTTAGTGCAATGTGTTCTTTCTTAACATCAGATATATGTACACCTACAACATACCAATCATCATATAACTTTATATAGAATGACAATCAAATAAATTTTTTAAAGCAATAGAGGTATTTCATGGAAAATGAAAAAGGAAACAAATCAATAAACTGAAAGATCACCCCTTACTTAACAACATAGGATCTTGACGTGGAATGTAGAATAGATCTTTTGAAAGAATTCTAGAAGGCTCCTGCCAAACGAATTCAGGTCGACTTAGGGAAGAAGACAGCAACATGCTTACAAACATTTTTATCAACAATTTACCACTTGCCCACAAAGATGCCTCTCTTATTCCACTTATGTATTCATTATCATCGTCTAACAACCCCAGAGCATAACACACTGCTCTAAAGGTAGGATAAAGAACCCCATTAACTGTTCTAATATCTTCAAAAGAAGTTGGTCCTATAACCTTTGTAATTAGAATACGAAAATAATAAAGTTCACCCGAAGATGGAGGAGTATGAGTAATCCTACCAATTGCAAACCCTTTCTCTCTTTGCTTCCATTTTCTTAGACTTCGCTAGTAAACATAGTGCTGAGGGAATTGAGAGTATGTTAATGTTTTTGCAAGATCTTTATCACAATTCTTCTTCATCCAAGCAAGAGACATAGATTCACCTACCCTTGGCTTGTGGATCAAATCTTCAACATCATCAGTATTTGAGTAAACAATATACTGCTGATTAGGCAAGTGAAAGCTCAATCTTTCAACTGCAAGATATCTATGATGGATATCAAATGCAAAAATACGCCATGCAACTTCACATGATGATATATATCTAAAGATGTAATAATGTATTATCTCATCAAATGGTTGTTCACCATTACCTTCTTGATTGCTATCATATATAGATGCAACAACTCTATCATTCCCCTTGCTAATGTACTTAAATAAATATTTGATAGCAGTACTTCTCAACATTGATATGTGCTTGAAACTTTAACAACAAATCAGGATTGTACGGGACTACAAAATGATTGTCAAGAGGAATACCCCGTACCTCTACTGTTCTTCCATCATCTCTTCTTCTATATGTAGGATATCCCTCATCATCAATGGTTGTACTTTCAGTGAATTTCTTCGAGAAATATTTGCTACATCTATTATCTTTCACGCAAGGTGACTTACTATTCAAACAACGACATAGACCATATACCATGAATTTTTTAACCAACTCATATAAATCTGGATTTAATTGCCTATCAGGAATTTCTGTAAAAATGATCTTGTCAACATCACTTGGCTCATTTAGCTTATCATTTCTGTCTAGGAATAACAAAATATGTGCATGTGGTAAGCCCCTTTTTAGAAACTCAATTGTATAGACATTTGTAAACACAATAAAACACAACTTTAAAAATTTACATGTTAATTGCAATTATATATTAAAAGGTCATTGGAAGGCTTATAGTTAAAGAAATGTACCTGTAAGAACTTTTCCAAATATCTTCTTCTTCTTAATAGTAGACATGAAAGCTTTCAACTTTAGATGAAATACTCTAGACAATATATCGGGCCTATTAGATGATAAGAGTGAATCACCATCATAATATCTAGTAACCTCAGGCCATGCCGGATTACAAGTAAAAGTAATAAAGATACTCGGATAGCCATAATATCTGCAAAGTGCCATGGCTTCTTGGTAATTTCTGAGCATAAAGCGTGCATCTCTTGTAAAAGAAGATGGCAATATGATATGCTTGCCTATAGATGATGTATTCCTTTCATCACTAAGTACAACATCTGTTAAACCCTGATATAAGTCTGCCCTAAGGTCCTTCAGGTGTGTGCTTACCCATAACAATATCTGAGATTTAATCATTGTATAATCATCAACTATAAATTGTTGGAACAACTTCCCAGCATGTAATAATGTAGATACCTCATTTTCCCTCTTCATCAACCTATATGCAAAAGACTCTCTCATACTAAGCATTTTTTTCTTCTTTGTATAACTCAGGGTCTCTTCACAATGTTCAGTGTCATCTCTATACCTATCCTCACCTCTGGGGAACAAAATAGGGTATTGTAGTGGGAGATAGGATGGATGCAACTCATTAATGTGTTGTGGCAAACCTGATAGCTTATAAACTATCACATATCTTCTATTAAAATTCATGTCAATGTCACCTACAATAAGTGCAGCTACTTCAGAAGCATATGGTAGGTTATAATTATGATCATCTTGGTGTCCAGAGCTAATTAAGCACATTTTAAGCTCTGAGTATTGACCACTGTAACACCTTACATTTGCGACCTTATATTATGCCAAGTTAAGATATTCGGAAGCGCAATCTCAGGTTACCAGGTTGAAAAATTTGAGTTTAAAAATTTCTTTTCCCGCATTACTATTCACTGTAACCTTAAACTTGACATATCTTTGGAAAATCATAACTAATTCTAGAAAAATCAAAACAAGGTCGTTCCAAGTCTCACTCGAAGCTCTTAACATCATCTATCAAGAAAAAATGACCTCAGGTTCCTATTTAATCAGAAACGCATCTGATTTTAATTTCAAAAAGTACTGTTCATTTGGTCATTTTTCTATTTTCCAGGATTTTTGCCTAACTTTGGAAAGGCATAACTCCTTGCACAGAGCTCTGATTGTGATGCTTTACCACTGATTTTAAAGGGAAAAATAAGATCTATTTGCATGCCAAATTTCAGGGGAAAAGTAAACCATTTGACTAGGGTCTTAATTGGTCAAAGTTTGGTCAAATTTAGACCATTTTTATCCCCCTTTTTCACTAATTCTAGCACCATTTCGTTTTTCACTATAAGCATACCATAATCACATATAAAGGTACTCTACCATTAATATACATCCAAAAAGGGTATCATGTTATGTGTTCATGATCAAAATATGCTTACATGGCTTGGAAGAGAAAGGTTTAAAACCATATAATACAATACATGGATCATAATTTCCTCAAGCCATGATTACTTCTTTTCCCTTCTCCTTGGAAGTAGTGGCACCTAGGATATCATGTTATAGGAGAATGAGATTTCATAGAAATCCCAGTAGCGTTGAACATACAACCATCAGGTCAACATGCATAAGATGTCATGCTACATGCAGTAAAATAACATTACTAGTCCTTATGCCATGCCATAACCATTCTGTATCCATGTCATCATATCATGGAGCATATAATCATTCTAGTCAAACTCAATCATGCAAGAGCCAAGGCATACATTGCAAGGAGTTCACATCATCTGGGCATAAACATTCTCATGGCACATAAACACACATAGCAGAAACACCAAATGCGGTCAACAAAATAATTGCAAGTTCACGCTACCTCGATTCCACGCTTACTGTTTTCTCCTTGTTTTCCTTGCTTGAGGTCCTCCTAGGTTTCCAGAAAATTGCCTATCAACCATACAGTAAGGGTATGGTAAATTCCATATCCAGTATACAATTCTTTCTCAATATAATACTACCCTTGTGCCTTTCAATTTATAACTTCTGTATACCTTTCCTAATCCTTTGGCTTTGGTTTGACCAAGCCTTAATCCTCAGTTAAAGTCTTGGAATTTTTCCTTAATCCATGATTAATCATGCTTTCTTGGTTAATCACTAACCCTTAATCCTTAATCCAATATTTAATTAAGGTCCTCAAGTCACATAGTCATTAGTACAACATAATCCTCTAAGATTAAGTCACTAATCCCTTATGGATTAACCTTTAATCATTCCTTAATCAACATGATTAATCATAATTAATCATCCTTCAATTAGCATAACTAATCACTAATTACTAATTAATCAAGGTAGCTAACCTTAATTACTTACTAATCTTTAATCAAATAACATGATTAATCTTAGCTATCACTAAACCATAATTAATCAAGGTAATTAATCCTAATCTTCCTCAAATAAATAATTAACTAAAAATAATTAACACTTAGGGAGGTAAACATACCTTAATTAGCTCTTAATCGGCGATTAGAGGTGTCTAACTTTGCTTTCTCCCTTTCTCTCTCTTCTTTCTTCCTTTCTCTCTCCTAGAACTCAAGAACACAACATTCCCTCACCAAGCAACCTCTTTGGCCGAAATGTTCATGAGAGGGGGTATTTATAGGCTTTGATTTTTTAAAATTCCAAGAATGCCCTTCGGGAAAAAGATGCTATCTCGGCCGTCCATTTTTTTTTTCACTTTACACTTGGACAAATCGTAGAGCACACAACACAAGAAATTGACACATGGATGGACACCTATTCACCATGTGATTTTCATGTGGTAATAAAATATTATTTTAATGTTTTGTCTCTTATTTCCCTTTATGCCCTTGAACAATTTGAAAAATTCCAACCTTGTCCTCCCCCCTTATTTTTGGCCGAAATATTACTCTAAATATTGGGAGAAAAATGACTCATCCAATATTCAATGCAATCCACTGATTATTTGTGTATTTCCGATCCGATTTTCCAACAATCCTGTCCAA